GCAGTTTGTAATTTGATTTTTTCCAGTGCAGAGACAACTTGGGTCTTTTGTTGTCCCCACTGTTTTCTAGCAGCATGGTTATCACTTGGTTTGATAACAGCATCATTTACACTGGTAGCTAGAAATACCAATAAGATAATATATTAAAAAGGTTTCAACAAATGCATTGATTTTTTTCTGAGCTTATTCACAATGCCATTAACTTCACACACTCATGATGAGTTAAAGTTTATGGGTTGTAATTGGTCAAGTGTGTGCAAGACTGCATGTGTTGCTTGCTTGCTCAATCAAGTGAATCCAAATTTGCAGCTTCAGACCATAACTGACCAGTGCACTATTGTATGTAGGCATAGGCAAGTGTGAATCTACATGCTTGAGGTTGTTGCAGTCTCATTGTTGCTTGTCAGTGGGTTCATGCTCTAACACTTCCATTTTAAAAATCTCACAGGACTTTTTTAAAAACAAATTCACTGGACTTTTCAAGGACTCCAAGGAGTAGCACAAACCCCCCCCCTTGTCATTAAAAAGAAATTCCCTTCTTCAATTATTACTGACGAGTATCCTTTAATAATAATTAATATATGCTTATCAATACTTTGTATTTATTAAATTCATGCAGTATACAGTACAGATAAATGAAATACTGTACAAGAAGTAGATCTGCAAAGTCTAGTTTCATAACAAATTTAAAAAATCATCATAGAATTATACATAAAGTAGAATAAATAATATTACCTTCCATGTGTGAGGCAGTGACCTCCAAGGGCAACATTCTTGGCTTAAATGGTATATCACCCCACTGCTTTCTCACAACATGCTCGTCTTCTTTAGATATCTTTGGTATATCATTCTTCATAAACGATAAAGGAACCATAAGATAAAAGTCCACAAACTCTAGTTAACGTTTATATGAAATACCTCTGAATTTGAACGATAAAGGGTTCCTATGCCAACTTGCTTTAAGGCTGTTTCCAAGCCAACAGCGGCAACAGCTATAGGTGGTTTTTCTAAAACAATGTTAGCAATAAAAAATTTAAAATAAACAATAGATATGAAGTAACAATTATAGTAAAGAGACAATAAACAACTTACCCTCAGGAACAGCTCGTCTGGAAGGCACAAACACTCTATATATAACAAA